ACACACACACACACACACACACACACACACACACACACACACACACACACACGCCCCGCCCTTCCTCCACACAAACCTGAAAACTTCTTTAAAAAAATCCTAAGACAGGTTAACCAGGTGTAGCGTTTCTATTCAGAAAACAGAATTAAAATCAGAACTAATTGTGTTAGACACACTTGTACATGCTTAAAAGATGTGAGGGGTCGTGTGTGTGTTAAACAGTTACGTTTTAGGACAGTGGGAGGAAGTCAGAGTACCCAGAGAGAACCCGCAAACCTGCAGAAAGACTGGAACCCAGAACCTTCCAGCAGATACCAACTGCACCGCCGTACAGCTCCAAACAAAGAGTCATTCTGTATTAAAATAAATTGTGTATCAAAACAAACGTGGATCTGTGGCACATAAAAGCTTTTTTTTTCTTCTCGTGTCTGGGTGTAATCAGTAGCTGCGTTGTAAAGGATCTGACTTTCTGGTCATTTTACAGGATTGGTTGCTATGGATTCGCTCCTCTTTCTGCTCTGTTTGTCAGCTTCAGTCTGGCCACACCTTTGTTGAAGTTTACCTGTGTTATTATTACTGACCACATTAACCTCGACACCGTTACAAAAAACAACTTAACTGGTTCCAGAGTAAAACAGAACAATCAGAGCTTTGTGCCTGTAAAGCAGGATGGAAGAGACTGAATGTTTTTCAGCACAGCTTAGGTCAATGTGAACACTGCAAAAACACAAAATCCTACCAGGTATTTTACGTCTAGTTTCTAACTTCACTAGAAGTTTTGTTTTATTACACTTGAAATAAAACAAACTAACTACTAACTAAGTTACTACAAGTAACTTTTCAGCAAGAAATAAGAGCTTGTTTAAGTCAGTAATTCCTTAATAATGATTAAAAATGTTCTAGTTCCATTGGCAGTTTATAATAATATTCAGTTTCAATTATAAAGCTCTTTATATCTCCAACTGAAATCTCAAAAGACTCATTCACTCACTGATGATGGCAAGCTACTGGACTATAGCCACATCTGACCAACACCAGCAGGTCAGGTGGGTTGCCACGTCGCTTATTTCACTTTATTCTACCTATAACATGAAAAAAATGTCTTCTTATAAGTGAAATAATCTGCGAATGGAGCTACAAATTTTTCATCAATATTAAGGAATTATTGACTTAACCAAGCTCCAAGTTCTTGATGAAAAGTTCATCTTATTTCATTTGTTCTAAGATATTTGTGGTAGAAACTAGATAAAAATACTGGGTCAGACTTTGTGTTTTTGCAGTGACTGGGCAATTTATGATGATTTTCACACAAATGGGTATTTCTGAATTAAATTTTTAGCATCAGTTATGTCAATAAACGATTATTTAGACAACTAGTTCTGAGTACTTTTTGCATCTAATCAATAAAGTTGTAAAATAAAAACAGAAACAGTGATGTAGGCATAGTGGGCTGCCTGGGCGAAGCCGGCCACCAGGTCCGGCTCCTCCATAGCGGCTCTCAAACACATTCTTCCCCTGCTGCTGCTTCATGTTTCAGTCATGATGAATTTGTCTCTGTGATGACAATGACCTCTGTCTGGCTGCCCTCAGATCGGCAGATCTACAGAGAGCATGATTGACTTTGTGGTCACGGACACGGCAGGCAGCAGCAGCGGTCACGGTGGAGGGGCAACGGGGGAGGGTGGTGGAGGAGGCCAGTCGGCCCAAAGCACCATCTCTCGCTACGCCTGTCGCATCATGTGTGAACGCAGTGCTCCCTACACAGCCCGCATCTACGCTGCTGGGTTCGACTCCTCCAAAAACATCTTCCTAGGGGTCAGTTTCTGCCTTCCTCCTGGTAAAGCAGAAGTCAAAGAGTCATTTTCAGAGATTTTTTTAAAATTGTAACACACTTTCTCTTTCTATTAGGTTTATTTTTAGATGTTTGAATATTTCTGTCCATTGCCAAAGTGTAAATTATGTTCAGTTTAGAAAGAGAATAGTAACATTTGCAGTTTTAGCTATATCCCAACAGTCTGTGTGTGCGCGTGTGTTAAATGTCAGGAACGGGCTGCCAAATGGAGGACCTCAGACGGCCTGATGGACGGCCTCACCACCAACGGGGTTCTGGTGATGCATCCGGCCGGAGAGTTTGTATCTGAACCTGCTCCGGGTGTGTGGAGGGAGATCTCAGTGTGTGGCAACGTGTTCGCCCTGAGGGAGACGCGCTCAGCCCAGCAGAGGGGGAAACTGGTGAGATGAACAATGCAAACCACTACCAGATACACTTCATAAGAACAGTTTTTCTCAGTTGCTGAAATGATCTCAGATGGAAATTTCAGTTATTATTACATTTATTTTCATTTACCACAAAATATGTTATTAGTTTCTTTAAACTCAGATGTTTGCATACGCTGAGTTAGATGTGAGTTAAATGGAGGAACCCGTTGTGTTTTGAGTCAGAGGTCAAAGGTGAGCATGTGTTGCTGTGAAATGTTAAACGAAGCCCGAGGTCTGAAGAAAACCTTGATCTTCTTCAGACGCTGGCTGAAGCTGGAAACAAGAGTTCAGTTTTCCTCAGAGTGAAGAACCAGGAACCAACATGGACTGAAAAGCCACCATAAGAAACTTTGTTGTTCATGTTGGGTTTAGATTTATAATTATTTTTATTCAACCAAGAAGTTTGATTCTGATCAGGAAAAGAAATTACACAATTGAAGGAGAGTATCCATTTTTAATAATAACTCCACGGGGTTCTGGTGACCCCCGTGGAGTTTCTATTCACATTTATTCAATTATTTACTGACTTTACAGTTATCAAACCCTTCTTTTATGTTTTCAATTATTTATTCTTGGTGATTAGCTCCAAGCTGTTGGAAAGCCTCTGTGCTATCACCCTAATCTTTACTGCCCTCAACTTCTGCAAAACATTAATACTGAGTTAAAACCAACATATTGATCAAATTAAAGATTACTTTAAACCTACCAGAGTTATGGATAACTGTGACCATAACTGTAGTTTATAATGCAAACCTTAAAAAGATGCATCTAAACTGAGTTGGAAATTCCCCTACAGCAGAACAAACCATCTGTTCTAAAGACCTTTAGGACGATGCAGAGAAAAGATTAAGAAGATTATTGGTGTTGGAACAGGAAATCAGACAGTGATGCTCTTTTCTAACAATGTTTTTCTACCTTTTGGTCTTCCTCTGGATTTGTTTCAGGTTGAAAACGAGTCAAACACTCTCCAGGACGGTTCTCTCATCGACCTGTGTGGGGCCACCCTGCTTTGGCGAACTCCTGCCGGACTGCGCCACATTCCCACCCTCAAGCAGCTGGAGTCCCTTCGGCAGGAGCTGAACGCCGCTCGGCCCCAGTGCCCTGTTGGCTTCAACACCCTGGCCTTCCCCAGCCTGGCCCAGCGCGAGATTGTTGACAAGAAGCAGCCCTGGGTCTATGTCAACTGTGGCCACGTGCACGGATACCACAACTGGGGCTATCGCAAGGAGAAAGGGCCCACCAGTCCGGGGGGCACAGCACCAGCCGGCACTGGTGAGAGAGAGTGCCCGATGTGCAGGAGGGTGGGCCCCTATGTGCCTTTGTGGTTAGGCTGTGAGGGCGGATTGTACTTGGACGCCGGCCCCCCCACACATGCCTTCTGTCCCTGTGGCCATGTGTGCTCTGAAAAGACAGTGGTGGGATGGAGCCAGATCCCACTGCCCCACGGCACGCATGCCTTCCACGCTGCCTGTCCCTTCTGCGGTACTTGGCTGACGGGGGAGCAGGGCCACGTCAAACTCATCTTCCAGGGGCCCGTCGACTGAGGCTCACACACACACACACAGGAGCCTCTCCCAGGATGAAGGACTTCAGTGAATGACTGGTGACTAAGGACTGTGTTCTCGAGCAAAAATGTGAATGCGCTGATGTACAGGAAGATGACTCCTTCCGTGATAAAACTAAAAGCAATAGTAGATGCCAAGGCTTTGAATGGAAGAGCTGTCTGGAGAAAATGTAAATAAATAGTGTTGAATTGAATCATGGTCTTTTAATATCATTTGCTCTGTGCTACCCTTGAGTCAGTGGGTCCACTGAGGCAGACTGCCTGGATGAAGTAACCTGGTTGAGCTGTGGGATGTATGAAGGAATACAGAGGACAGAATGTCAAACCTGAAGGGGCTTCAGAAAGATTTGGGAACAGGACTCAGCATAAAGGAACAGCCCCACCTTATGTGACAAAATACACATTTCTATTGTTTTGATTTTATTTTGTTTTCCAGAAAATGCCACACTGGCACTCTGTTGCTTCCATTTCAATGGTTGCTGTTTCAGTCAGGAATGCGACTCTGTTGGGTTTAGATATTCCCTGACCAACAGCATTCAGAAATGAATTATGGTAAATCTCACTTTGTAAACAGTTAGTTCAGATTTCTGTGTCTTTGAGCCCTGCCTTATAGAGTACCTGTTAAGTTACATAGTCAAAAATTAACAGCAATATTTTGGTTTATTTAACCTGTCATAATAAGAGAAAAAAAAGTATATTCATTTTTCAAATGAACCCTAATTAATTTTTTTTGAGTCACAGTTAAATATTTAATTTGCAACCTAATTTTTGGGTTAGCAAATTAAATATTTAGTTTATAAATTAAATGTTTGGCTTAGAAAATAATAATCTTGGAGCTAAATATTAAGCTAGTGAGTCAATTATTTGGAGCTATTAATACATTTATGACAAATTTATAAATGTATTAATAGCACGGTCGAAAAATAACTGAAAAATGAACCCGTTTTTTCTCCTGATGAAACATAAAGGGAACGGGTGCAGACAGCGCCCCCTTCAGACTGAGAGCAGGTTACACCAGGTGCTGCGGCTGCAGCTGGGTTTACACACACACACACACACACACACACATTAAATCAACACAGGCTGAATAAACCAACATATTGCTGTTAGTTTTTTTGCTATGTAATTTTACAATCGGCTCCCCATAATACCAGCTGTGCAGACACAGCATGTTATCCTGTTACTAAAAATAACTGAAGGTCACCTGCAGCCCCCCTCGACCCCCTGCAGGTGGAGAGCGAACGCACACGACTCTTAAAGCTTGATGTTGCTCCAACTTATGCCCTTCCATACATCTCAAGGGAATCGGCTTTTCAAGGCTGTTTGTGTGCCATGAAGTCTGGATCTGGATGACAGTCGTGCCAGCAGTGGGAGCAAAAGCGATTATGAAATGTCATGTGGGTTTTATTTGCCGTGTCAGCAGTGATTCAGAGGAGACGCTTCCTGCACACAGGTGAGCGACTCCAGGCAGAACAAAGCAAGGTCATCAGTGACAGGGACCCTGCTGTGATCCACAGACAGCGTTAGGAGAGAGTTCAGACTGGGTTTCCAATCATTGTTTTTCAGAATTTTATTACATACATCTTTTTAATATGTACAGAAAGAAACATGATCAAACTCTGCAGTAAGACAAAACCAAAGGGGACAAGCCAAACAAGACAAAAAAGTGACAACAGCTATTACCTGGTGTTTTTTAACCAACACCGTCTAATGAGTGCCTTTGCTGCATTTAACTATTAAAAAGCAATAAAGAATTGTGCAAACGACACAGAATACCCCCTTAACCAAAACAATCCAAAGTGAAAAGTAAAAAAAAAAGTAAATGCAGACCACATTCATGAGCAAACCCCCCACCCTTTCTATTAAACCCCACCTGATCAGCACCCCCACCCCCTACCTCCATTCAGTAAACAGTATAGGATTCAATGAATACACCAAAACCAGCAGCCTAGAATACAAAGACTGGCTGAAAATATAAAGACATGTAATCAAAGCCCAAACTTACATGTGTGAGAGTCAGACAAAGTTTTATTCATGATTTCTAGTTGTGCATCTACAGGTGAGAACGGTGTGATGCTGTGACGGGGAGGGGTACCCACCGACTGCTCAAGCTTTATTCAACATCAGATTCAACCTGACAGAAACCCCACCCCAGAGTGATGACAGGCGGCCAGCAACAGCGCTGAACCAGGTCAGTTGGTGCCTTTGACCACTAGGGGTCTAATACGTCCAGGTGTTTCTGGGGAGCGCCAGCTGTGGGACGGAAGGGAAGGGAAAATCAGGGAGTTCATATCCGGTCAGCAAGCCAAGACCAGTCAGTCCCTGAAACTCCAGAGGAAGTTGCCAAGGATGAAGCGAACAGCATCACAACCACTAAGAGAAGGAGATAGGAGCTCTGGAGGACGACGGCAGAAAACTTCCAGTTCTAGTTTACAGCAGGAGACTCAGTGCTGCTAGAAGACAGTTCACTTATTGCAGAGGGACGTTGGTTCCCCCCCTTCTGGTTCCCCTAAAGTCCACTAAGACATGGCTATCAGTTCTAACATCGCTCAGAGCTCTGGGCTTGGAAACAGACTCCTAACCCTCTGATGCTACAATATTAACATGAGAGTGAGAACTGGTGAGTCCAGTTGGAATGTCCTCCGGTCCATTCAGACTCCTCCCAGGTTCTCAGGCCTTGCTGTCAAACCTTCCTACAACAGACTGAAAAAACTTCTGACCCCAACTGGATCACCTCCAGATAATTATCATCATCTAACAAGATTAGATAAAAGTGTGACACACCTAATATTAACCAGCAAAAGGTGGGCAGCTGGAAGTTAAATAGGAAGGTCTGACTGCCCAACATGACTGAACTGTGAATGAGCGTGAATAGTTATGATGCTGTTTACTCAAAACGATCACAGGTCATTTGACGAGGGACTATGGGTTCAACAGCTGTGACCCAAACAACTGAGTTGGAGAGGTCATCTCAGCAACAGCATCGCAGACACATCTGTAGCTTCACATGTTATCCAGAAATCTTACTGGGCCGATATCAATAAAACCTCAACAATAATGAAGCTGATGAAAGGCTTCCCCTTCTTCTAATGCTATAATCTGTAAGGAATAACGCCACCTGCTGACAGAAACACTTAGTGACTCGATGTTCAGTCATCAAGGGAAAGCTAATGCCATAGATTCCAGTCTCCACAGGGCCTGGGCGGATGAGGGTGGATGGCACCATCCTTATCCACCCAGGCCCAGTTGAGAGGTGTGCTCTGAACACTGAAGGTCAGGGTTTTACCCCAGCTGACTCCTACTCTCCAGGTGGACCACCTGGATCTGTGTGTGTACTCCTCTGTCAGTACACAGACAGAGGGGGGATGTTAGCATGTAGCTAAGACATGAGTTGAGATGTCAGCAAACATTTAAGGCCCCAAATGTTGGAAATGAATGTTTGTACGGCAGGCTACAAGGAAGCTAACGAAGCGGACGGATGGAAGAAGCTGCCTGAGAGAGCGCCATCTGGAGCCTTAACGGGGAACTTGTGTGATGATTACAGTCTGAGAGCAACAGCAGAAGGGGAAATCCTCCCAGGACCGAACCGGGTGGGGATAAAGGTGAGGGGGGCGAAGAAACTTGACTTCAGTCTTTTTAACTCTAACTGGACAATAGTGTGTGAGCAGGAACAGGTGAAGTCTCTCAGTGAACCAGCCTTCCCTGTAACAATCCTCTGTCCTCTGAGCAGAACGCGTCACTGCCTCTGGAACCTTCCACCGTGCTTCCATCAGATCAGCACCCAGAGGGGTCATTACCTGACCTTTCAACCCTCTCTGATGCCCAAGGGTGCTAAACGGAAGGCGGGGCTAAGAAGGCAGGCTGGGGAGGGAGTGGAAGGGGTCAGGGGGGTTAAAGTGATGAAATGGTGAAGGCGAGGGAAAGGGAAGAACGAACATGAAAGAGGGATTCACAAGAGATGTGGGGTTTAGGGGTGCGAAGGCATGGGTCCCTTAACAGCAGCCACCTCCAGACTGCCTCACTGGGGTGCTCTCAATCTTTAGGTTGGGCTTGTCGCCGCTGGCCGTGGCCCCTGGCCCCATGCGCTTCTTGATCTCAGCTGCCATGGTCATGAAAGCCTGCTCTACGTTGGTGGCGTTCTTGGCACTCGTCTCCAGGAAGGGGATGGCCAGAGAGTCGGCAAACTCCTGCCAGGAAGAGGAAGAAGAAGGTGAAACATTCAACCCAAAACATAAAGGGGACCGGTGCAGACAGCGCCCCCTTCAGACAGAGAGTAGGAGCTGCGACAGCAGCTGGGTTTACGCACTCACAGATTTACATTCAGACCCAATAACACTTTAAAGCATATTGCTGCCAATACCAAACCTGACAGCTTCACCAGCACACTGACCAGTTTCACTGTTCAGTGCATCAAAGCCGTAACACAGTAATAAATTATAAAACCTACATCTTTATTTCCTGAGAAGATAATACAACTTCCTGTTGTACAACTCAATCAACTATTCAGCTGCATCCACAGTTTCCATCAGAAACAGGCCGTACCTTGGCTGTTGTGTAGTCCACCACTTTCTTAGTGGTGAGGTCACACTTGTTGCCCACCAGAAGCTTGTTCACATTTTCACTGGCATAGCGGTCGATTTCCTGCAGCCACTGCTTGATGTTGTTATAAGACTCCTGAAAAAGGCGATGCACGGATTTAACTGAAAGGCTTCAGTTAAATCGAAGGGTCGACTGAAACAGCCTGGCTACGCTCCAACTCCCTGTGATTCATCAGGCTGTTCCTGCACTCACCTGGTCAGTCACGTCATACACCACGATGATGCCATGGGCTCCACGGTAGTAACTAGAGGTGATGGTTCGAAACCTCTCCTGACCTGCAGTGTCCCACTGATGACCAAGGAGAGAAGACAAGAGTAAGAAAATGCATACAATCATGACGTGGATTTTGTATATCATAGTAAAATGTAATGGTGGACCAATCAAAAACAGTGTAACATTCAATATTTTCTCCAGAAACATTCACTGATGTTAGATAAGTAACAATGGCATTTTCAGGCTACAAGCTAACAATCTGTCCATGCAGTCAGCAAACAGACCCAGGACCTAAAGGCTCTACTGTGTCTCGGTACCAGACACCAGGCAGGCCAGGATGAAACCAGCAGAACCAGTGGAACAGAAACATGGTTAGTCCTGCCACATCCCACCCTGCTGCTAACCAGTTATGGTTAACAAATAAACAGCAATCACCTTTAACAATAATTAATTTAGACTTAGATTGGTTAGAGCCAGATAAGGGAAATTTGAAGTGTTTTTATATCACACTGTTTTCTTTCTGCAAACTCCAGGAGCTGAGATGCTCCAGTAGGTTAGCAGCTTCTTCTATAGGCATCCCCCACTCCCTACCCCCAACATGCTGAAGCTAATTGGAAGGTAATTAGGTAATTAAGGTAAAAGACTAGGTGTTCACACTAACAACTGGTTTGTGTCCTGACTAAACGACTGTGGATCAGCGTTAACTGATCCTGCTGGACCTATCAGAGCAGCTAAACCTGCTGCCTCACCCAGCTCTCAGGGAATCACTCACTAGTGTGTCCCCAGTTTAACTAGCAGCTCTGTTGTGTCATTTGTCTTCAGGCTTTTTAGTCGCTAAAATGTTTGCTGTTAAACCAGAAATGTTGTTAGAGACCAAGCTGAAAAGTATTTTAATAATCTTGTCAGTATCTTATTCTCTCACCTCTGGAAGCAACTGAAGGTCGCTGACAGCCAGAGGAGCTGCTTATGTCTCAGAGGAACTGAGAACATAATGATGATCACATACATGAGGCGTTCTCACATTCAGTTGAAGTAAATCCAAATTCAAAAATATTTTATTGATACTAAATGGAAATTAAATGTTGTTGTAACTCATATTATTCAAAGTTCTTTATGACATACTGGTGGCTTCTCCTGTACAAGGAAGCTTCTCCAGAAGTTGCCAGTATTACAGCACATCAGAAGAAGCCTCTGACTGAAGACACTGTTGTATCTCACTGAAACAGTAATAACAATAACTAATAATAACAGTGGAGCACAGACTGCAGCTTCTGTAGAGATGTCTGTTTGGTTGTGGAGTCAGACCAGGAGTGGTTGGGTTGGGGTGTGATGCGTTCACTGACTCAGACTGCTTTCAGTATTTCATAATTGCAATTTGTGTTTCATTGTTTTCATCTGGATTTTCCTCTTCTGGCTTCTTCTGGTGGAGAATTATGAAGGATGTGTCATGTCAATGACGAAGACACTTTGAAAACTATCACATAGCATTTAGTTCCACATCCAGAAGTGGAACAGATCAGATTTGTTTGGGGGGACAAAGCCATGGAAACCATGAAGCCCTCTACGGAGGCAGCACAGCTGGTGTTCCAGTACTAGTGTGCATAAACTCACAATCTGCAGTTTAATCGTCTTGCTGTCTAGCTCGATGGTGCGGATCTTAAAGTCCACTCCGATGGTGCTGATGTAGCTCTCTGTGTAGGTGTCATCCTGTATAAAAGGAAATAAAGAGAAGCAGAACTGGAGAGGCTCCGTCTGACAACAGAAGAAGAAAAGACTGCAAGATGAGGAGGGAACCGCCTGCTGGTACAGAGAACTACTTACAGCGAAGCGCAGAAGAAGACAGGATTTTCCCACTCCAGAGTCTCCGATGAGGAGCAGCTTGAACAGATAGTCACTGAAAGGAAAAACATATCAATATTTTAATTAGAAATTGTGCTCTTATAAGGGGCTGGCATGTAATTTAAATTAATTTTCATACATATTAAAAATTTTAACAGAATGAATTGCATTTATTTATTTTTCTATACGAAAGACCCAAGATGGAACCTAATGTTTGATGAAGATGACTGAAAAATTAAAGGTGAAATCATGATCATGATTTTTGAGCAGTTCTATCAGCTTTTACCTGACAGAACTGCTCATAATATTATGACCAAGTACATTGGTCATTTAATATGCATTGTGACTTATTCTAATGTAATTTAAAGCTTCAGTGACTACACTACAGCATAGTGGTAGATTAGGTGACAATCCACTGTGTTAATGGATGTTTTCTATTAAACAATAAATGTAGTTAATTTACATGGCGTCACTTCAGAACAAATAATATCGTCTCAAGACATTTTCCAAGCCACACAGAGTCAGTTCACCCCAGTCCTCCAGGTCTCTGAGCTGCTGCCACGCACTGATCAGTATGCAGTGTGTGGTTCGGTGTGTTTCCTCTGATTCCAGTTTGGAGTTTAAAGCGCAGACTGCTTCCTATCAACACACTCCCACAGATACAAAGGTGGCAGTATACTGAGTGCCACACAAGACACACTGTGAAAGGTAGCAGGGTGTCGAATCAACCCCATGATTCTACACCCTGCTACTTCACCGCTTGGTGAAGTGGTGCATCACCAACCACTTCACACAGGTAAGGAACTTTTATTTTCTGTCTCTTCAAGATTTGTTTCCAGTTGCATCTCTTTCACAGGATGGTGCTGTTATTACTACAAACCTAAAGGTAAGATCAGGGGGTTTGCCATTGCCCAGGTAGTTCCATCAGTTACAGTTCAGTACTAACAGAAATAAGAACATGAATAGACAAAAACTTGTGAAAAATTAAAGGGGCAGTATTAAGTAAAATTTACTTTTCTGAGCTTTACATGATGTTATAATGTTATTCCCTCGTCAAAAACATACCTGGAGTGTTGCCTTCACTCTTTCATACGTGTTTGAGTAATCCTTTAATCCCCATGGTAACCATTCAGCTGTGCAAAACACTTGGGTGGACCTAGCCCCGCCTTCAAAAATGGTGGAAGCCCAGTTTACAAACTTCAGAACTTCTGTCTCACAAAGTAACCCTTCCCTGTGACTTCCCCATTAGCTCCTTCAGACTAGCCAGCAGCAATTAGCAAACATATGGTGCAACTGCACATCTGCTAAGCGCAGTATAGGAGTTGCAACTTAGTGTAAGGCTGATAAAATGTTGTCAAAGGGTTAATAGAGGAGCCATGTTGTGATGACTTCCTGAAAGCAGATTTTAGACAGAGCGGGAGTTTTTAAAGAAACAGAGATCCAATTTCATCTGAAGGTAACAGTTACCAGTTGATTGTGCTAGAAAATAGCACTATGTGCCTGGAGAATACATAATACTGACCCTTTAAATTCAACCAAACAAAGGTTCCATTTGTTCATCGTGGACACAACACCATTAATATGACAACACATACATGTGTTGTCATATTAATGTATGACAAAGAATCAGACATACATGTTTGAAATTATGCAGGATAATCTCTAAACTTGATCATGTTAGAATTATACAGAGACTCAATCATATTTAATAAATCATAATATGCATTTTGATTAGGCTTGTTTGTCAGAGTAAAAGTACCTTTTCAAAACAACCTTTAAGCAGGTATGAAACCTATTTATTTATATATAATAAACCCCTGGAGTGCAGTTTCTGCTGAAAATGTTTCCTCTATACTTCAGAGTCAGGTCAATGGGAGGCAAAAAGAACAATTTCAAAGATCCCCACCATTTCAGCCAAACACTCGGCCGAAATGATGCCTGTTGATGGTTCAGGAAAGTGTGGCCTGGTCGCAACCTGCGTAAGGACTAAATATTAGTGAAAGTGTGTCTATTTCAGATTCATCTTAGCCTCTGCCTAAATGCCAGAACCGGACAATCCTTGTTTAGTTGCTATCTGCTAAAAGTAAAAATGGCAGCGTCCTCTCCAAACATTCGCTTTTTCTTGGATCATCTCCCACAGTAGGTTGTTTCGTAGCGGCTAGAAGCAGAAGCAGAACCGACACAAAGCGGCACAGAAGTCGTCACCTGACGTTTGGAGGATTACTGACACATTCCGCATTGTTCCTGGGAACCAGCTAGCTCCTGTTTATCCGACAGATTTCCGGCAGGACCATTAAACAATCATTGTTCGGAATATTCCACAGTAAAGCACATTACACAGAAGCAGTAGCAGTCTTACAGCTGAGAAAGGTAAAGAGAAAACTTACTACTCGGGATTCATGGTTTCACTTGCGCTGCGTCTCTTTGGGCGAACACTCTTCCTTCCCTCTACGACAAACCGAACAGATGACTGGACGGTAGGCTCGATTCTGAGGCACTTAGAAGATTTATAACCGTCTGTACTGCCGACCTCTGTGTATCCTACCTTAATTGTTTCAAATATCTTTCTTTTAAGCACACATATTTCAACTCCAGTCACGTCTAATGCTATATTTTCCTCTTTCTCTCCTGCCTTTCTGTGTTCGCTGCTTGGTAAAGGTTTAAGGATGACTGCGCAGGTGCGGTAGTGACGAAAGGTGATGTGTCACTACGAGATGGACTGCGCCACTGGTAAACAGTCGTTTTGAGTACAGAGGGAAAGAAAACACATTTCGCAATTATTAACGACAAAATATATGAATAAAGTTGGTGGTTTCAGGTTGTCACACAGACTAATATATAGTCTGTGAGTTTTCATCTCTAGCCGTCATAAGACGCGGGGTCTGCCCCATTAGTCAGCCGACAAGGAGAGCGGCGACGTGTCGGCGGAGTTTGTTCTCTTCAACCAGTTACTTGGCCACCTGAGTGGGAGTTAATACATAAAATACATAAATAATGCTATAAATACATGGAGAAATCTTGAAATAAATAAAATCTGCAAAACGGTGACTGACAGCTCTCCTCAATAAAATAAAATAATAATTATATATATATATATATATATATATATATATATATATATATATATATATATATATATATATATATATATATATATATATATACATATATAT